TGGCTTTCACACTGGGGACAGGAAACAATGTGCTATGAAACCTATTCATTTCAATGAGCCATCCAAAGTGCAAGTGGACTAGCTTTTCAGCACACTGACTAGCTTGTGCATGCTCCATGGTCAAAGTTCAAAATAGCTTTTCTCTCATGTATCCCTATAAATCCATGTTTGTGCCACGCATGTCTGCCAAAAAAGCTAACTTTGCTCAAATAACTTGATGAAACAATTCTGTGTAATATACTGCTTCCTGCTGCTTGCAATAGTGCTTCTGAGCTGTCATGACAATGCTGGTAAAATGACACCTCTGGACTTGTTTACTGTAAATTCTACTCTGTATAATAAATTTTATTTTATTGAATATATATTTTAAATCAGTGTAATTTAAGTTGAGTTAAATTCTTACAAAATCATTTTATATTATTTTATAAATAATTGTTACAAAACAGTTTTCGGCCTGTTGCATTCATAATATTTGCTTTCAGTTTCTTGTTTTCATGTCAGTACATTCCTCAAACCGGTATTGTTGTGCACTTTGTGAAAATAACACAACCCTTATTTAAGGTTTTATTGAATGACTATTATATTTTGTTGAGTGACTTTTTTTATTATTTTTTTATTAGTGCCCTGGTCATTTAAATTGAGCACAATTCACAATTTATGATACAACATTTGCGTTTACATGCCAAATTGAACCTGGATTATTTCACATGGCCAAAATATATTTTCTGTTTACATTTTCAACAACTCTTTTAGTTGAAACGTTAGTGTCTGACATTTAAGTCCATCCACAATAAATTGAGTTTTTTGGGTGTCTGCTTTGCTGGAAGCTGTTGTTGTGTAAATCTCAAAGTTAGTCATTAGTATTATGGGTTCAGAGATGGTAATTTTCCATATTGTTACTTGGGTAATGACTGGTTTGGGTTTACTCTGCGGCTCTGCACCTCCCTCCACAACAGTGGCCTTTGGGACGTGTTCAGAGGGGCCCATTGGGGCCAATTATGCAGTGTTTGTGACTTGCACGTTAGGAGGTCATAAATTAAAAAAACTGCACTTTGTTCTGTTGTTTTGAAAAAAAATGGTTAACCTTTCATTCATCAGGACATTTAGAGAGATTGAATCTCAGTGTCTTTACATGCGTACCTGGATAGTTTGTCTTGACTGTATCAACAGCTCTAGTGTTGCCTGAGATATTCTGCCATGTTTAAGTACAGTATACCTGTTTATCTGTTAGCTGAGATTAGAACCACCTCTTTAGTGCTAGTAGTGATTTGTAGACTAGTATAAGATTATTAATTTTTTTTGCCAATGTGCTAAATTTTAAAAAAGTTGGTTGTGTGTCGACTTGAACTCTCCAGACATATTGAGCTGTTGTGTTTGGGATTTATTTATTTTTTATTTATTGTACCTTAATATTTTCTGAGATTTTGTTGAGGATAGCACTTTGTTGGATGCTTTTGTGTTGGCGCCTTCTCCTTTTTGTGTGTGTTTTTTGTATACTATTTTTTTGTAACTATTATTGTTATTATATACTATTATTTTTATCTTGAGTTGACTTTTGTATAAATAATTTTAACCTTATTTTGATTTTGATTTGTTTATTTGTGGTCATTTTATTACAGATTTTATTTCTTTTTTTTTACTTTGTATGTGTTTCGTTTTACTTAAACTAAATATTTTAGTGTAGAAAATAGTTGAAATAATCCATCATATTTTTAACATGACTATCAGGAGTTGGTCAAAACATGAACGTTTTGTTCTTAATGCACATAGTACATACCTAATAAAGTAAACTGCAAGTTTGTTAAAACAATGTCTTAACATGTCTGTAGTTTCTGTTAATACTGTACATGGATTTATTTTTGCATTTTTCTTTCTAGCTAATAAATCGGATCATTAACTTTCGCATGTTGAAAATGTCTCTGTAAGGATGGATTTCTCTACGGATCTACAAAGATCTCTCTACAAGATTTAGTCCACCATTATCATTATTATACATTAATTGAATGGTTATGTATTTGGTTGAAGTCTTTACTGCATTAATGCTGATTCATTTTCTAAACTTTTTTTTTTTTTTGGTTATCTCCACACAGTGTTTTACGTGTTTCTGTCATGACCCTGAGACGAGCCAGTGGCTGCAGACAGCTGACCTTGACCATTGGCCTGGCCCTGACTTTAGGCCTGCTGCAGTGGCCAATAGGAGATGTTCGAGGTCAGGATGGAGCGTCTCCTGCCCAAGTCCTTCAGGAGCTGCTGACGCGATACGGAGACAACGCAAGCATTTCCGTCCCTCAGCTCCGATCGCTCCTCGTCAGGTTAAACGGAGGGCAGAGCGAAGACCATGACAGTAAAACACAGCCCACCAGGACCAATGCGTCTAAGGTCAGTCAAGAAGATTACATGACATTTAGCTGGATTTAAAGCTCGTTTACAACAGGGAGGATAGCTATGATTATAAAGTTGCAGTTTTATAAGTTGCTCTGAATTTAAAAGAATAGCAGAGTCCATGTCACAACTATAACAGCAAAGTGGAATGTTGTCAGTGGAATCATTTTCTATTGTTTAATTTTTTCAGATGGCACATGGTAAAACAAAAGTCATCTTGCAATGTTGTCATTTTGGTCTTTCTCGAAATGTTTGTTTCCCTGAGAGTGTTTTCATGTCTAACTGGCTTTTGGGCTTCAATGTATCTGATTTGGTGTTTTTTTTCCCACATACAAGCATATGCTCATCTTTTGGTCAATATACAATGACTATTTTAGATATGTTTGTATACTGAAATAAAAAAAGAAAGTAAGAATGTTGGTCAAAAAAAAAATATATATATAGTGTTAAGTTCAAATCATTATTTGAAACTTGACCTATGCTTGGGCATGAGAGTAGGTATGCACAATATGAAAAATGTTGACCGATAATTAAGTCCTATATCGGCCAATACGATAATCCAAAAGTTTATATATTGATATTATAATGTTCGTATAATCAGCATTTTGTGCACCCATTAGAATAAAAAAAAAAACTGATATGCTAGCAGCTCTGGCTAAACTATAAATAACATCATCATTCAGGATATATTTTTATTCATTTTTTTATTATTGTGTTTTCATTAGTTTGACATTTTTTAAAAATTACCAAACAACACAACAATAATAAAAAATACAATGAATAAGCATGATAATACAAAGAAAATAATGGTTATAATAATTAAAATAAAGAAAAATAGATAATAAAAATTATTTAAAAAGAAATATCTTTAGTTATTATTAAAAAACAATTAGGGCATGTAAATAGTTGTAATGAAAATACAAAGAAAAATACAATGAAAGTGAAACTGCATTTAAAGTCGACAAATTAAAAATGAAACGCCTGAAATTACATGAAAATCTCGAGGAAACATGGATAGTGTGGTGACGCAATGACGTAACTCATGTAAACACCTTGATCATATTATTGTCTTATTCAGATTAAGGCAAATCATTAGATTACTGATAACCACGTAAACAGTCACAAGCCCCAACTCTAGACAAAAGGAGTTCAGTATTTTAATGACAGCCTTTCCACAGGTTAGTTGTAAGCTAATGTGATTTCATATTGCAAATCTTAAATTCATGCTAACCAACAATTGATCAAAGGAAATATTCATTCATTCATTTTCTTTTCGGCTTAGTCCCTTTATTAATCCGGGATCGTCGCCACAGCGGAATGAACCGCCAACTTATCCAGCACGTTTTTACGCAGCGGATGCCCTTCCAGCCGCAATCCATCTCTGGGAAACGTCATCCACACACACTTATTCACACACATACACTACGGACAATTTAAGCCCACCCAATTCACCTGTATTGCATGTCTTTGGACTGGGGGAAACCGGAGCACCTGGAGGAAACCCACGCGAACGCAGGGAGAGCATGCAAACTCAACACAGGAACGCCAACTGAGCCGAGGCTCGAACCAGCAACCTTCTTGCTGTGAGGCGACAGCCCTACTTACTGCGCCACTGCGTCACCTTTAAAGGAAATGTATTAATGTCATTCAAATATATAAAATATGAATTGATGTTGACTTTAAACTTAAATTATAATGTTCTATTAAAATTATTTTTTAAAAGATTTTGTCACATAAAAGATTTTTCTAGAGTCATCTACCATAATTTTGTGGCTCAAAAGTATCGGTTCAGGCACCGTTTTGGCAATGTTACCATTTTAAAAAGTATTGATTAAGCACCGGTATCTAAATAACCTCAGACAAAACCCTAATCTTATTACGACAGGTATCTTAAACTGTCGCTCAACAAATTTACATTTGAATTTCTGCGCAGCCTCTTTAAACCAACAGAGACATCATCAGGCAAACTCTGCATCAACCTGAACTTCTTTCTGAATGACCAATGTGACCTTGTATGCATGAAAAGAAAGATTGTTTCTGAAAGGGCTTCTGCCAAAAATGCATTATCAAAACTTTTCTAAACCCTGAATCAATATCAAAATTACTTTTGCACACTGGAGGGCAATGACTTTATGCAGTTCAAAACAATAATCTAAAAGATGACACCATGGCTGAAGTATTTCTTTTAGACTGGTATGTTTTAAAACTTTTATAGCCATGCAAAGTTTGTGTTTTTGTTCACACTTTCCACACACTTTTAGACACAATATGTAACTGACTTACAAATTACCTGGTTCAGTCATACATCGGTCTTCCTGTATCAAAAGTAACTTAATCCCATACCACAGAAGTTGACTTTTTTTGGCACCCTCTGTGCTGAACTCATCCATGTATACGCAGGCTATTAAGTCTCCTGTTCTCTCACTCTGTTTAGGCACACTGCATTATGATTGGTTCAAATAACATACTGCGGGAAAATCATGCTGTAAGGTGATTTAGAAATCGTGCATGTCCAAACTGCGATTTCGATACGATTTCAACCACAGAGCACCTACGGCAACTGCAATGGTCACTTTTTTTATTTTTAACAAAACCTGCATTTGTTCCAATTTCTAGTAAGAATAAGGAAGATAAACCTAAATTACATACTTTTCAAATACATAAAATACATTTATCACCTGCAAAAAAAAAAAAAAAAAAGTAAATAAAATTTGTGTTCTTCACTAAATCCAAATGCTTGGAGCTGGTCACATGATCAACTTGAAATCTATTTGCTGGTAAACAAACCTAAACATTCACTTCTGCTGTTAAGTGTGGTTTGTCCGAATCGATATTTAGTTCACAAGGTGCAAATGAGTTTAGTTTTGCTTTGAAGCAATAAACGTTTATTGAGCATGTTCTCATTTCACGAAGGGAAAGTTTATTGTGTGGTTATATCGTTTTTTTTTTCACCCTGGCCTAAATGCTGGTGATGTCTGACAGCCATGTTGCCTTTTAACCAATTATTGAACCGATTATTAACAATTATACAGCATTTCACAAATGTTACAAATTTTTTGCTTCAGACAATACTCTTTCCAGATTTTTCTCATGACCTGCAAGTAAAAAAAGAGATCCTCTCTACCTGCTGATCTGAAATTCCTGTTTCATAGCTTTAGTTCACATGCTTTGGTTTAAAATCAGTATTTAAAGCTCAGTGTCTGTGCTGATTCACTCCTGACACAAAAGGGTTTGATCTTCTGCGAGTTCTTCATAAGACATGACAGAGATTTAATCCTTTTCAACAACTCTGAACTCTTAGGCAAGTTATATCGTTTATGTAATGTAATTTATTTCTTAACTCCAATTATGTTGTCATCCTATTATTTATTTTTATTTTTTATTTTTTGACAATCAAATGATTTCTGTATATTTTGGTTGAAATTCCTGGTAGTTACAATGAACCGCTCTGGTCTTGCAGAACCATAAATGTTTGTCTTTGTTCTGAGTTTTATATGTTCACGTTGTTTTAGTGTTTTATCAGAGCAGTTATCTTTTGTGACACCTCTCTGTAGGTAAGTTAAACAAAGAGTAACAACACATTGTACTGCATCCACAATGTCCATAATCATAAAAGGCCATATTGAGCAGACGTTGTTATTGTATGTCATAGAGAGCATTTATGTAAAGGGGTAAATCTGTAACCTTTCAAGGACTACAAGTAAAATATTTTCACTCTGTTGCACATCTTACATACACAAATAAGACTAAAAAGCAAATCAGTCTAAACTATTGTAACTATTGTATTGTAGTAGTTAACTGAAATGTTTTACATTTTACCGTTTATATTTTATATTCATTCATTTTCTTTTCGCCTTAGTCCCTTTTTTAATCTGGGGTCGCCACAGCAGAATGAACCGCCAACTTATCCAGCATGTTTTACGCAGCAGGTGCTGCAATCTAACAATGGGAAACACCCATACACTCTTGCATTCATACACACACACTACGGGCAATTTAGCTTATTCAATTCACCTATAGCACATGTCTTTGGACTGTGGGGGAAACTGGAACACCCGAAGGAAACCCATGCGAACACAGGGAGACCATGCAAACTCCACACAGAAACGCCAACTGACCCAGCTGGGGCTCAAACCAGCAACCTTCTTGCTGTTGGGGATCGTGCTACTTACTGCACAACCGTGACACCTTATTTATATATTTATATATATATATATATATATATATATA